CTCCAGGAATCTTCATGATGCTGTACAAATAACAACCTTATTATTAACTGATTGCAGCACAAACATTATTAACGTCCAATTTCAAAACAACATTTCAACAAGGCCACATTTCACAATCCCCAGCAGCTCATAAATAGAGATGCTCCGTCTCCTGTCTAACTTGAAGTCTTTTCTCTCCAACGACGTTGAGTTCCCAGCAACCTTCAGCCATGAAGATTCTCCACCTTCTCTTTGCTGTCTTCTTCCTGCTGCTGCAAAGCTCTCCAGGTAAGAGCATAATGGCATGAAGGGACAACATAGGGGAATGTCTGTGAGTCTGTTGTAAGATTTTCTAGAATTTTGCATCATATAGTTTCAACTTTTTTTTTAAAGTGTCCTATAGTTTTCAGCAGGGATTTGACATTTGACTGGAGTATAGTCCAGGGGTGAGAAATGTGGCATTAAAGTTCCTATTAAAGTCTATTCAGATTTGGTTGAACTATCAACTAAAATAATATCCCTACCATTTTACCTCCTGGAGTCCCGCAGGATTGGTTCCTGGTGCTACGCTAGTGAAATGCCAAGCAATGCACATTGGAAAACATAACCCCAACAATACACATGTGGTGATGGGATCTAAAATACTTGTTACCACTGATCTAAAATACTTGTTACCACTGATGGGAATCATAGTTTTCTGAAAACACCCATTCAATGTGCAGTGGCACTCTAAAGAAGTGAAGAGACTCTTTGGAATCATTAAAAAAGGAAAAGATTGTAAGAAAAAATATCATGCTGTTTCCATAGAAATGGATAGGACTCTCACATCTTGAATGCTGCATGTATATATGGTCACCTCTAAAAGTATATTGGAATTGGGAAAGGGGCAGAAAAGGGAAAAAAAGATTATTAGCGGTATGGAAGGGCTCCCGTATGAGGGGAGATCAATAAGACTGTTTTAAAACAGTCTAATATTAATCCTCTGAAAGGCCACATTTGGCAACATTCAGCCTGTCTGGAATTTCTAAGCCTGGCAATTGGCTATTGAAATAGTAATCCCAAGAGCTGTCTTCACAAGCCTGTCTCTGCAGAGTCTCAAAGACAATCAGGCGTTCTCACTGGAAGGGGTTTGTTCAAACACTTCTTTGTCTAGATGTTCCAGCCACCCAACCCAGCACTGAGCCAGTTCATCGCAGCTTCGGCGAAAAAGTACAGACATTTCCATACTATCAAAGATCTAGAGAAAGGGGGGATGGGAAGTGAAATGAACTGGCTTGGCAGGCCTCAGTGAACTGGAGACTCAATTATGGAAAGCCATCCCTCATGTTGCAATCAGAGCTTTTACTTAGTCTTTTGTATGAATAAAAAGGAAGACTTTTTTCTCTGTGCAGGATACACCCAGTACGTCAGTAACCCCGAAGCATGCAGACGTGCGAGGGGCTTTTGCCGCCCTCAATGCTTTCCTCATTTTTCATCTATTGGAACTTGCGGTTTTGTAGGGAGCTGCTGTAAAAGGAAAAAGGTAAGTTCAGGATATAACATATGAGAGACACGACAGTGTAAACAGAGTATTGGTGTTCCTCTTTTCTGTTGCTGCTGTTTCATGACCTTGGAGGCTCAGAACACAGCACACAACTCTGGGACATGGGAAAATAGGATATTTTGTGGTGCCCTAATTCTGGACTATCTAGAGTTTGTGTGTTACAGTAACCGCACAGGTGCTTTACCTATTGCTTGCCCACAGCAATCTGGAGCAGCACCAAATCTCCATGGTTTTGAATGCTACAGAGCTTGTCCATGAGATCTTATACCACTCATGCAGTAAGGGCAGCACAGGGGCCATTATGTGTTGCTCATGTATTACAGTATTTCTCTCTAGCCCTGCGTGTTGCTAGCGTGGTGTCATACCAACAGGGTCTGTGGCCACACTCACCCCTGTGTCCAAACTGTTGTTTCATTTTAGTGTATGGAAAACAACAGGTGAGTATATTGGGAATGTGTCTCCTTGGTATCATTAGGCAGCACCTCTAAGATCAAAATGGCTGCTCTTTCTAACATTAATGCTTCATTTCCTGAAAGGAAATGGGTACACATTTCGAATGATGATTTGCGGAGGGGAGGGAAGGGAGAAGGTGTCTGTGTCTCTGTTTTAGCATCTATGGGAGTCTGTCATATCATAATACAAAAAGTATTTAATTTACCACAGAAAAACTAGGAAAACGAGCCACATGTCAGCTTCTGACAGATGCTCATATTTTTAAATATTTTACAATCAATACATGTCATTCTCCCACTCAGAACTGTATTTTCCATAACTAGCTAAATGTGTGTGTGTGTGTGTGTGCATATGTGAATGTGTGTCTTTCTCTCTAAGATCTTTCATATCCCACTATAAAATGATCAAATTGGACACAGAAAAAATTGAAATTGTACCTTTCTTTCTCTTCCAGTCATTTTCTTGCTACCATGCAACATACTAACTCCTGCCCATCTGATTCTATGATAACTCTTTCTCACATGCTTGTCCATTTCTGGACACATCTCCTTTCCGGATATTATTTCTCGATTTGAATTTCCTGCTGGCCTGAGACTGAGGGGAGCCGCTAGGACTGGTTGTGAGTCTTCCTGGAGAGAAAAAGATCAGGGAAGAGCTGGAGGGCTGATCCTGACAAAAAGAAATGGCTGAAAACTGAGGCCTGCAAAAGCAAACTGGGAGGAGTTCAGAGAAGAGCTGAGCAGAGGAGAATTTGGGATCATGAAATGAAAACAGCTGAGGCGAAGAAATGTTTGCTCAGCCTCTGAGGAAGCATCTGTAGCCCAGAGAGACTTTAATGCTCTTTTGTCACAAATGGGGGAGGTTTTTCTTCAGCAGGGCTAAACCAGCCACTCAACAGAGGAAATGAGTCCTGACGGGGGGGGACAAAGGGGACTATTACATGGGAGGGGACTGGACAATTTAAAAGAGCCAGATTTTCCCAGCTGCTGCTGTTGCTACTGCTACAGCTGAACTCCTAGGCATGTGAGGGGTGGTACCTACGGGGATGAAGGCAGCCAGGTGAGCATGTGGAAGCCAGAGTCAGGCCAGAAGAGTGCAGCCACAAGCACAGCAAGGAGCTTATTAGGAAACAGCAGGGGGCCTATTCACTGCTTTGCTCTTGGGTCTGGGATTGCTGTTGACAGGTCTGAGGGAAACTGAGGCATTGGCCAGGTCTCATGAGAAGGAAAGCTGCACCAGAACATCATGGATATAAACACTGACAGCCTTCCGCGAGGGGCTTCTGTAACACGCACTGACCAGCGGGGTCACACATGTCCATTAGTGGACGTGCTCAGCCGTCAGAGCAATTCAGTAAACACTAGGGCACCTTTGCATTTCCCCTCAGAGTCCAGAGCAATGACAACCCCTGGTGAGGTCAATGCCAGCTCTGGATTTCTATTCACTGGTTTACCCAGGAAGATTCCTAGAGGAGTGTTATCTGTTCTCATTGTTCTCTATAGACCATTCTATCCCTGTTCTCCTTGGTACCTGCTTGATCTTCCCCTCAAACTGAGCAGGGTGCCTTGGCCAACACGCTGAAATGAATGTTGCAGCAGGGCCAGGATGCAGCGAGGAAGCTGGGAGGGGTAAGAAGCTTTCTCAGACACAGCGGGCTTGTTTGTTGTCCCTAAACTGCTACAGGGACAGAGCAACCCCACTGCAGCTGAGCCAATGTGCTTCTGGAAAGGCACTGTGTGTATCCACAACAAGATTTCTCTCATCTGTACAGGCACTCCACCTCCCCAAGCGACGATATGTAGGTCAATGGGACAACTCACCTATCAACTTAGTGCTGTCTTCATCAGGGGTGAGGTTGGTTTAACTGTGTCACTCAGGTGGGGTATTTTTCATACTCCTGAGAGACATAGCTACACCAACTTAATTTCTTAGTGAAGACCGGGCCTACAGCATACAGGCAATTTTGGGGCAGGGAATATGATAGCAAGAGAAGTGCTACTTTCCTGTCTGCTTCACTGAGCATGTACAGAGATTAGCATCAACTAGAGAACTGTGACCAAACAGGGTGAGACTTTACGTTGACATAAGCTGGAAGAGAGAATGGTCTGTAACGCTCTTCAAGGATCATTTTTTGGTTTTGTTATGAAATACCTATTGGTTTTTGTTTCAGGCAGTGGACAAAAGTGGGTTTGAAAAGAAAACTGTCTATGGATGTGAGCCACGTTGTTCCACATCTTCCATATATTCTACAATTTTTTTCTAACAATCGTAGAGCTAGTCAACATTCATTAAAGTTTCCAATTTTAATTTAATCCAAAAAAGGAATTTCAACTTAAAACTTTTAAGTTTGATGAACATTTCAATGATATCAGAAATTGTGTTTCCACACAGTTTTAATATTTATCTTCCTGCAGTTTTTTTTATTAATCACTTATGTACTTTATTTATTGTGGTTGTCACTGTAAGTGCGGAGAATATTAGAGGAAGGAATTTGAAAGAAGATGAGACTCTGCCTCCTTTATTAGATAGTTGTGGGACAGGATTGGGAGACCCATGTTCAGATGTCAGGCACATTTCCTTTGGGAGCCAGGTGGGCAGCCAAAGCATGTGTTTTGATATAACTGACTATGTTCATTAAAACTCTGTAGCAGCATGTTGCAGTCTGGAAAATGAATCCCCTGCTCTGGTATTAGCCAGAGGTATCTGCACTCACCATTCAGTGATAGGAAAATGTCTGTTGTACCTTCCATTTGAAACGCAATGTTCTATTCTCCTTGTTTTCATGGATATAAACCTAGAGTGTGAACGTTTCTTCTTTTTGTATTTTGTAGTTTTGATTCCGAGCGTCAGCAGCAGAGATTGTTAATGCAGGATCTCCGGGAAACTGCCAGAGGACACCTGGCTTCTAAAGTCATTGGACGCTTTTCTTCTTCGATGCAAAGAATCTCGCAAACCTTAAAATCTACAAGGAAGCCCTTGTGTTACTTCTACTAGCTTCTTCCTCTCCTTATAATAAAAGAAACTGCTTGTAGTGCAGCATCACAACCATGTGTCTGTAAGTGTTTTGACTGACATTTTGGGGTTGTGTAGCTAGTTCTTTTGTAAAAAAAATACTTTTTGAAAAAAACTTGCATGTGAATAAATGAAAGGCCACCTTCATTTGTTAAATCCACAGGAGGGAGTCCCGAGACCAGAGGTATGTACATTTTAAAGGGTTTCCCTATGATCACGTGGATCCATTTTTGCCTGTTCCTTTGTCTCCTTACAGAGCCCTTTCGTTTGTGTTGTTATCAAAAGCATTGGGTTCAGTTACATAAGGCTGCACAAGATTGACAGCCTCTGGCAGTACTCTACAGCATGTTTTGCCCCTCTGCTCCCTTCACCTCCCAAACCTCATCTCCATGAAGGCCCCAATTTTATACCTGATCTTCCAAACATGGCCGTGTGCAGAAGGCTTCAATGCAGGAGTGGGCTCAGTGTGACAGGGGTCCCATTTGGGGGGACTTTTCTGCCCTTCCACTTAGCTCCCCTGCCTGGCAAAGGCCTTTTCTCTCCCTCCCGCCATCCTCAAACAGCACGTGCCTTTTCAATCCCCCTGGCCTTCTCCGGCTGCCACAGGCCTTCTCTCTTCCCCGGGTCTCTTGGCTGGCCTTCTCTCTCCCGACAGCCTCTCCACACCAGCAGCGCCTTCTCTCTCCACCCAGCCCCCCCGTCCACGTGGTCCCCAATTCATATACAGCTCACAGTGTGCTCAGCCCACCCTCCTATGTTCCAGGTTCATACTATCCTCAATCACAGGAAGCCATTCTGTCCTCTTTAAAGAGTTGACATGAGTCTCTGTAACGGGATGGGAACCTAGAATCGGGAAACATTTTAAAAACAACACACACATCAGAATAATAATCAACATGGTACAAAAAGGTACAGGATCTACTCAAACCCAGAGTTTGCTGCCAAGTCTCTTCGGAGGGTGAATTGTTCTCTGAATTCCTTTCTGAATGAATCTTGGGCCCCTGTACAGCCCAGTGCAGCCTGTGAACCGCTTTCCAGGCACTTACATCAGTTTTTTACCAGGCTGAGGTGGATTAATTGGTGGAGATGCTGAGCGTGTAATCATGGCCTCATGAGAGTCCATGACAACACTCTCATTGACATGCCAGGAGCAAGGATTTCAGTCACAATTGTAATTACCCACAGGGCCCAGCTTGTCGGCTGTAACAATATCACACAAAATATGCAGTTTATTTTAATAGTCTCATATCTTTTCAAGGATGGGCAGGAAGCCTTTGCAGATACTACAGGAAAGCCCCGAAAATCTGCCTAACAGTTATTGCTGCATCTCTGGCTCACGGAGGAGTTACATTGAGTAACAGCAACAGCCATTGCCAGAGCTAACCACAAACTCTCACTCGGTTCTGAAGTCATTTCATCTCGTATTAATTACTTCTATAATATTTGCTTTTTACCTAGAAGTCCATACACATCCAGTGCCCCTTGGCTTTTCTCTGTGGAGAAAGTGCCAGGAAAGATCTATAACATCCATCTATTGACAAAGAGCTGACATAGAGGACAATGCCTGTGGCGGAGACAGCTCACTGCCTGTCACACCTACCTCCTCCTTGCTTTGTTGGTGTTCTCCTCCCTGTGGATTCTCCGTCTTTCTCCGCTTCCAGGAACGTTTTGTATTTGGTGCTACCAAAGTGGCACAAACAGAGGAAAGAGGACGAAGATTTTGGGAAGCAATACTATAAAGAGTCACTGAAGCTTTACAGGGGTTTGCATGAATATTACAAGGAAATTTCAGGTGTCCAAAGCCTCTATAGGACCCTTAGACATTTTCAGAAATTTACCTGTCTTCAGTTTAAGCCCAGTCACTTCCTAATCTCTTCTTCCAAGGAGAATGAAACAAATCCCAGAATTATCTTGGCACCTGCAAGTGCCACTGGCTTTGACACCTTTCATGCATCAACATTATAGGTCTTTACTTTATATATTTATCATTATGGCTAGTACTTGTTATGCAGGGGAGAGGAAAAAGTCCAGGTTTCTTTCATATCACTAACTGTACAATATCTCAGTTTAGATATACAGGGAAAAAAATCACAGACCCATAAGTTTCTGAAAAATACTCTAGAAAATATTATTTATTTTATCTTTCTTTTTAAAAAGTAGCTTAACCTGCTTTTATGGGTTTGGGTTTGTGAAATTGAAAGCTTCCCTAAAATGTTTGATAGGTGTAAATGTGCATATTGCAACAACTTAAGGAAAGGAATCATGAACTGTATTTTCAGGAATTTCTCCAGGAATGTTCATGGTGCTTTACAAATTATAATCGTTATTATTAATCGATTGCAGCGTGAACTTAATACATGTGCAATGTTACAAAATGAAATTTAAACAGATCCACATTTCAAAATCCCCAACAGCTCATAAATAGAGATGCTTTATCTCCTCTCTATATTGGGGGCTTTTCTCTCCAGAGATCTTGAGGTCCCTGCCAACCTTCAGTCATGAAGATTCTCCACCTGCTCTTTGATGTCTTCTTCCTGGTGCTGCACAGCTCTCCAGGTAGGAGCATAACACAATGAAGGGACAATACAGAGAGAGACATTTCTGAGCCTTTTCTAAGTTTTCCTAGAACTTTGTATCATATTTTTTCAACTTTCTTTTCTAAACTGTGTATGGTTTTCAGCAGGGACTTGACATTTAACTGGAGAATAGCGCAGAAGTCAGAAAGGTGGCCTTAATGTACCTAGAAAGTTCTATTCAGATCTGACCTGCAATAATATTGCTACCATTTTACTGCCTGGAGGAATGTCATATTCTCTCAAGAACCTGAGAGAAAATATGAAATCGACACCTATAAATGTATGCAAGTGATAAAAATTAAGCATCAAATCATTGGTACACAGGGATTTGAATCCCTGCATGAGCTGGCCACAATGAAACATCCAAAGAGCTAAATCTACATAAATGTCTCTAGGAACAAATTGCTTGGCCACATTTATAGACTGGGGAACGCAATCCTAGGAAATAATGATTATGAAAAAGGAATTGGCAGTAGAAGATACATAAGCATCTGAAAATGGATAAAATATCCTTTAGGAGCATAAAAATGAAAACCTCGATTAGGAGAACAGAAATTATTTTACCTCTGTATTTCACACTTCTGGAATACTATAGCCAGTTCTGGTGTCTTCACGTGACAAGCACAGTTGATCAGTTAGAGAATTTTTGGACAAGAGCCACAGGAATGACTAAATGATTAGATAACACGACTTATAGCAAAAGACTCAGAATGCTTAATATTTTCCGTTTAGCAACATTTTAAAGGGAATTCACATTTGAAATAATTTCCCAAGAACTGAGTTCTCTGTCTTCTGTTATGCAAGAAGTCAGATTAGATAATCACAGTGGTCCCTTCACACTAGATGATGACAAAGGTGTTTCAGTACCAGGCAAATTGGTTGAAACTATAGTAAAGAAGAGAATTATCAGATATATGGCTGAACATAATTTGCCGGGGAAGAGTTAACATAGGTTTGTAAAGGGAAATCATGCCCCACACCTATCCATTAGAATTGTGGGAGTGGATCAACAAAAATTTTGGCAAGGTTGATGCAGTGGATATAGTGTATTTAGATTTCAGAAAGCCTTTGACAAGGTCCTTAATGAAGGCTCTTAAGCATAGCAAGTAATTACAGGACAAGAGAGAAGGTCCTCAAATGGATTTGTAACTGGATAAAAGATATAAAATAAAGGGTAGTAATAAATGGTCATTTTCAGACTACTGAGATGTAAATTGTGGTGTCCCTCAGGAGTCTGTACTGGGACTAATCCTGTTCAACATATTCATAAGTGA